CAGTGAGAGGCTCTGAAAAATCTACTATCCATTTTCTGGCTGGTTTTGATCATTTTGAATTTAAAGTTTCCTGGTCACATGGCTCTTAAACAGAAGGATCAGACAGATGATGAATGTTAACTAGACAAACTTTATTCCAGGGAAAACAAGAAAGTTTGTATTTTTTTGAACATGTTTTTGCTTTGAGTCGTTTCTTTTTTAATCAGTTTTTTAACAGTCAATTTCTGTTTTAGCATTGATACATGCATGTAGAAATCGAACCAAATTAAGTCTAAACCTTCGCTGATGAGACAACCCTGGGATCTGATGAATAAATAATCTGGTCTGCAACTGGTTGGTGACGTCGGACTGACTTTTTTTAGCCGTTGGATCTATCATTATTAAAACAATGGTAATAGAGATGTCAGAAAAAACCTCTAAAACATTCCTGCAACAATAAATTCAACAAAATATCTGCAGCAACGATTAATTAAAGGATATTAGCTATGTTAGATGCAACCAAGAAATCATCTGGAGAATATCAGACGACTTTCACCTCAACTGGCACGGTTTGCTGATCAGTCGATCAAAAACTCAAAACTTTGATACTCTTCTGATGAGTGAATCCACCAGATGCTACCAGTCCTTAACAATCCTCAATATGAAAATGGTCACTGAAGGAAAATTACTCAAATATAGCTATTTTCATGGTCACTTATGTGTTTAAATTCAAGTCAGATGTATCTTTGTACTTTTGAATTTATGGTTGTTTTATTCTTCATCTCTTCTGATACATTTTTATATGCGAGGCTCTGTTTGTATCAGCTGGACAAATATTTAGGAAAATTTAGATTAATTGACCCAGAAGAGAGAAAACATGAAGGTTAAATGTATTAAACCTCTTTTTTTTCTCCATTTGAGCTTTAAACTTCAGTCTATCGTGGAGCAGGTTGGATGCTGAAATATTGGAAGACTTTTAAAAATGCACTACTGGCAAGGTCAACGCTGAAAAGATGAAGATCTTGACATCAGTAATGTCTAAGCTGAATCTAAGTAGACAAAGGTACATGCTTTCATACCCCTTTAACTATTTGGGGATACAGCTCAGGCATGACAGGCATGATTAATGTTTTCCCTTTGCCAGAGGAGCCCAATAAATGACAACAGAACAGGGCCACCTACGTTGAGGAATGTCACGCCGACTTAACATGTGGAAACTAAAAGTTTCTCACAAATCTGCCAGTGGGATATAATCTGCAGAAGCACCCGATTGTTGGAAAGTTAAAAACAGCAAGTTCAAACTCAGTGGCAGCAGCTTATTATTCAGAGAATGAGAAGATGAATGACATGTCACCATTTCTGATCCTCACCCTGAGAACTGTCAGGAAAGATGAGCACTATGGCGAAGTCTTTGTTCAGGCATGACAACCATCAACTCATTATGTGTCAGAGAAAGACTGTCCAAAGGAGAGGGGGACTACAAAGGATGAACGAACCTAAAGACCATCCGGGAAAATTAGTTCTATTACAGGACTGCCTGGGTTTATCTCCCTTCTGCAGGCTTTCTTCCCACAGCTAACCTTGTGCCCAGGTGTTCTGCTGCGGACTACAAAGAGGCCAAAGAAAAACAGAGTTAAACACTTTCAAATGTGCCTGAGGATTGCCCTAACAAGCTATTACTGGTTAATATAGTGCTATTCTCCCACAGTTTGAGAGCAGTTAACCTCAGGAGTGACTGGCTTCTGTTTGAAGGGTCAAAACCTCGCTGAGCCCTGTGCACTAAAATAGCAGGTGATTATAGTCCTTGTTTAAAAGTAACTATAGGAGTTCCCAGCAGATGACACAAGCCAGTTTAGTTCAGCCTTTATGAGACAAAAGAGCTACATACTTGCACAAATTTTTGCCTTTTTGTCCTGTTTTTAAAAAAAATAAGATCTTGTGCTGAATCCTCAGTTACTCCTTTCAATTAATTCTAATGAAGGTGATGCAAAACTTGAAAGAAAGGTGTGCTGCCTGGATTTAGTTTCTCAGCTGTTTTTATGGAATCATACATGATGATTGTCTTCAAATTGATATTCCTTTCTCCTTATATTATGTAGTTCTTAATGCAAACAGTATCATAGTAACATACTTCAATCTACTCATTTCCATTCAGAAATTGTACATCAACATCTGAAACATTTTAAGCTGTAAAGAAGAAATTTTCATTATAATATATATATATATATATATTATATATATATATATATATATATATATATATATATATAGTAACAGTATTCATACCTCTCTTCACAGCAGCTGTGAGCTTCAGTACATTTTGTAATACTTTTCAGAGATGGACCTATTCTAGATAGTGCACATCTGTTAAGTTGGTTGAAAAAGTATGCCTACTTCTCAAAATTTTAACAAAAAAGTACATTATGGTATATATATGCTTTCAAGTCAATACTTTCCTGAATCACTAGTTTTCAATATAACACAGCTGCAAATCCTTTGGGGTATTTCTCAACAGGGGTTCTCACTTAGACTTAGACTTAGTTCTCTTCTCTGAAAATATCTCAGTTCAATCAAATTAAAATTGGATTAAAGTGTTTAACCATTTGGATTTAGGTTTTTACTTTGACTAAGCCATTTGAACTTTCTAATAAGCTATGAATTAAGCAATTGGATTTTTTGTTTAGGGCTATTTTGTGTTACCATTCTCATGTTTTTTGTGACATTTAACCGGTTCTCTTCCTATATTGTTTTGTATTTAAATCCGACCACTTTCCCATCAATTCTGAGGCATTTTCTGTTCATACTGAAGAAAAGCAACCCAAAAGCTTGATGAACTGTAAAGAGATTTTAGTTCACTGACTCAATGATTCAGTCTAAACTCAGTCTGCAATGCACACTGTTATTAGGGAAAATACTGTCAGCTTTCCAGAGTGATTTGTGTGTCTACAGCCATAATCAGATTTATGCCCCATAGCAGAAAGAGTAAAGGAAAAAGTCGAGTTGTTCACAAAACACATTCATATCAGCTGCAAGGAAAATAGTTCAAAAGACAGGATATATAAAGCAGCTTTGGCTCTGTAGAGATAATTTCCTTCATTCAATCAAAGGAATCATGTTTTTCTTTCAACACGAGGAACTAATTTCTTCCATTTCAATGATAGCAATGTTAGATTTATAAACCATAGCCTATCAGCATCAAAGGAAAAAAAAGCCAACATCAACTCTCGCAAACATGGTGCAAAAGTGCTGTTATATCACAGTGATGCTTTTATATAATTTGTCAGTTGTTTTTTTTTTCATCATGCATATTAATGCACATCTCAGATGCATCCTAATGTGAGTGTGAAATAAAGAGTGGGTTTTTAAGCATTGTCCTTACACAAAAATGCTCTACTTGTGTCTTTTTTTCTCTTAAAAGCCACATTTAGCTCCATCTATGGTTCATTGTGAGTGGCTCTGACAGAGAGCAAATATAAGAAAGGCAAATACAAACTATGGAAGCAGAATAAGAAAAAAAACAAACTTGAATGGCAGCCAAATGTAGCAAAATCCTCCCCACCAGTTTCCTAAAATGTAAATATCGTTTGCGGATAAAAATGTGAGGATGGGTCATGTGCAGAAAATTCAGCAACCCTAATGCCTTCACCTTCTGCATTTCCTGACTCTGACATTGGATAGAAATTCAAATGTTTGTTGGAAATTTCATTGCTTATATTATCATGAGGCACTTAGCACAAGAGATAACTGCAGTATATTGTCATTATGAACCCTAAAGACAAGTGCTTTGTTAAGTACACCAGCACATAAAAAATTTATAAAGCATTCCTCGTGGAGCAGTGCAAAAATCCATACAATTAGCGGGTAACACAGATTAGATGCATTATTAGTCTCAAGCCACTTGAAGTTGCTCAGTCATGCATAAACTAACCTCCAAAACTAATTAAAAACAAGCAAACAAATTTAAGATAGTAGAAATATATAGACATTTTTCCAGCAAAGTAAATGTGAGACTATTAACAAGTGAGACACCCGCTGAGAGAAAAAGATTGGACTCAAAGGTTAAAGCAAAAGGGGGAACTGAAGGGCATTAATAGAGAACAGGCCTCCATCAAAACCAATGCCCTATGTTGTAATTTTGAGAGACTCTGTAACAAAAGTTAATGGGTTTTCCCTTTGGCCATGCTCCACCTCTCGACCTACTTCTATGGACTTAAGTGCTGCCCTTGTTTGGTATCGTGTATACAGACAAACAAGCATTATGAATCAATAATTCTGTATTAACCACCATAAATGATATAAACTATGTGAGACGATCCTGGATTTTTATTGTTTTTATGAGCATAAAGCTATGTTCATCTGGGATGGGGTTTGGTTTTCAAGGCTTCAAGACTGCAGTTCATTCAGTGTTCCTCAATTGTCTCACATGAACGCTGTCTGGCTAACAGTACTCAAGAGTGGTGATCTCATAAAAGGAGACAGATCCGAACTCAGCAATATTAAAGTTGTCAGCAGAGACAGGTACAATAAAACCTCGAGGACAGTCTTGGACACCACTTTGACAACGCAGCAGAAACAGCTCTGCTGGGACCTATTTTAGCCGGACAATTCAACACACAGGCTCTCACGCTGGCACTGACTGACATTCATAACATGCTGGATCTGCACCCGCAGTAAGTGCACAGCCAAGTGTTAAATTTGAGTTGATTTCAGAAAGCAGCCGAGGTCACACAAAGACTTGTTTGAGGGGGGGACTAATAACAGCCGTGCAATTTGATGAAGACAAATTCTGCGGCCCTGAATAGTTCGGACAATCAGCGGCACATCTCATTATTGTCACTCGCTTCTCTCACACAATCAAACCCCAGTTAAGCTCTGGCTGAACAAGAGCCAGGGTTACAAACCCTGAATCTGGTTAACTGCCAGCAGTTAACCCATTCCAGACCAAAATGGAGAGAAGGTGTTGCACCAGGTCTGCACATTAAATACAAAAACAAAGGTCACAGTGTTTTCAAGTGCCTTACCTTTAAAGGACAGGAAGATTCTGGGAGCAGATAGAGGATCATTGGAAGGTGGCATCCCGCCCGCTGACACGGCCAGGAGGGCCAGCAGCCAGGACAGTTTGTCCCACAACATTGTCCCTCTATTTGTTAACAGAGGAGAAGTCCTGCAGCTGTGAGACAGACAATACCAAGCGTCAAAAATTCACACAACCTTTAAATTAAAATGGCAATATATAAAATAAAGGAATAAATATCCTCTTCTGACTAAACTGTCTTGTCATGCGAATTTCCATTAAGTATAAGAAAAGTAATCTGTCAGTTGCGCAGCTGAACAAGAGTCCTGTTGCTTATTTGAATCCCCAATCTGAGTCCTGTGCTTTTTGTACTCTGTAAAAATAATTGGCACTGAACAGCAGGTGGCAGATGACAGAGAAGTCAGTTTCAGATTTGAAATCTGAAGGTTATTTCTGATCATTTTCAAAATACACATTTATATGTCAGTTCTTACTCTTAGTTGGGGAAGTGGCCGCCTGTTCTGTTACATGTATGCTGGCAGTAGAAGGTGTTTGCTCAGTGCTTTATACATCCAAGCCCTTGATCAGTAAGAACTTTTCTGTGTTGAAGTGAAGGTTAAACTACTCATGGTTAAATTATTTCACCTGAGTGCTGATCTAATGAGGAACTCATCCTGCATGATTGGCTGACTTTTTGTATCACCAAGCCATGCAACTTAAATCATGATTTGTGAATCTTTTTTTGCAAAAGAAAATCTCCACTTTTTTTTTTTTTTTTTTTTAATCGCAAGCTTCTCTTTTCTGTCAAATTTTCTGTAGCTATTTTTATGATTAAGCCAGCTGGTGTTTGACTGTGTGCTTATTAAAATCGGCAAGGTTGAACTTTTTGACTAAAGCCACATAACGTGTTTGCTACAAATGCATAGCGATGAATTTGAGGAGACATTGCAACGTTTCCCCGATAGCAGGGCTGAAAAGAGTTGCTGCCCCTTAAGCCTGGCGCGCACTGGCTGCGCTCACAGATTAAATCACAAAGCGCATCAGCACGCTGTCATCCGCCACAAAGAGAGCTGGAGATAATATCCTCATAAATGGGTTCTGAGGACTAGCCAAGAAATTAGAGTGTGGACGGATTTGCAAAAAAAAAAAAAAAAAAAAAAAAAGAAAGGGAGAGAAAGAAACAAAGAAAAACGTGCATAAAAATGCATGATGGAAACAAAACAGAGATAGCAAGGAGATGGAGGGGGGTTCGATGTAATCATCCATGTATGCCACTGATCTCCTTGTAAACGTGGATCAGAGTTTGAGGTCAGATTGTCAGTCAGGGTTTAAGATCAAGTTCCACACTGAGCCACAGAAGGCAGAGCTCCAAAGGAGAGCCGCTAACCAAAATAAAGCCTGACTGCATAGGAGGACACGATCCACATGCCTTTCAGAAGCAAAATATGGCATTTACATGAAATCCAAATTATTGTCTGGAGACTGGATGTGTGCTTAGTTTGAAATCTCAGAATGCACATGCAGCAGAAACTTTAAATGTCCACCAAAACGCACAGAGACACGGACAATGACGCGCGGCTTTTGCGCCTTGCGTGATTTTCAATCGTGTTTCATTAAAAAAAAAGCGACCTCCCACGCGTTTAGGGAGGCGCACCAAAAATATAAAGCTTAAGTATTTCAATAAATGACCAAATAATCTCGCAAATATCAATTTTCACTCAGAAAGCAACTATTTTCCCACCTCATTCTTCAAGCGCGTATGTCACAAGTGAACTCATAGTTTTAGGTGATCATTTTTCATAAAATCACTTCCTTAATAATCACCCACCTTGTAGATGCTCCTAGATTTTGCACTACGGCTGGTCACCATTTACAACCATCCACTCAGGTTGCTCCGTCCGCAGGCGTCTCAGTCGCAGATCCCGCACGATTATCCCGGAGCCAAACAAAGCTTGGATTTAAATTACCTTCACGGAGCCCCTTAAACTTGAAGTGAGCACTTTATTGCAACAGAAGACTCCGTGGGGTTTTTACTTCTACCCATGAAGAGGTGAAGAAGAAAAAAAAAAGAGAGAGAATAGTTTCGCTTGGACACAATCGTCGGAGCGGAGATTCAACCCGTGCGCAGCGACGCTCAAGTCTGGAGTGGAAGGAAGCGGATTTCTGCAGGTGGATAGGCTGAGGTCTCCGCGGTTGTGGACACACCCAAGAGGGAGGGAACCTACCTTAGCAGCCCTCCCTAAAATCTCACAAAATCATGCATCTTTATCCGACACCACCCTTCAACTTTTCAGATTTATTATCTCGTTTCAGAACGTTAACTTTATGTTTTTTAGTCGTCTAACTGGAACATTTTATGAAATGATTTGCAAGACAGTACAGCTTATTCTACAGGCCTCGTCTCGTCTTCCCGCGTGTATTTGTCGTTCCCACGAAGGATCAAAGCACATTTTCCACATATTCAAACTATATTTCAATAGTAAAGAGTGGGAACACTGCCGCAGTTCGTCTTGAGCCAAAAGTCATTCAATTTGTTTCAAAATGAGAAATCAAGTCCAAAATGTTGAAAGTAGATACTGAAATAAGAGAGGTAGCTTCAATTTATCTTCATTACCATGGACATTTCTCTTTTCAATCACAAATATTCTGTGCCTCACAAAAATATTAATTTTCCTTTCTATTGCTTTTTCGTCTTGTCAGCAAGAAATGTGTGGGATTTCTGTGATTAGACTACACAAAGTGGCACATGTTTATAAAAGGAATACATACAATACATGGTTTTCAAAACCGTTTATAAATAAAATCTAAAAAGCCCAGCAGAAATTTATATTCAGGTCCATTAATTTAAACACCACGTTTTGCTGCAGTTTCAACTGCAAGTCTGTTGGGTGACTTTCTACCAGCTGTCTGTACCACAGACTGAACTTATGTGGATTCTCCTTTCCATAGTAGCTTAAATTCAGTCCAACTGAGTGGTGAAAAATAGTCAACATTTTTGACAGATTCTCCATTACATTTAGCTCCAGGCTTTAACTGGGCCATTTTCATGAAGGGATAGACTTTGATCTAAAGCCTTCATTTCTTGATCTGGCTTTTGGCTCATTGTCTTTCTGGAAGGTGGACCTTCATCTCAGTTTGAGTTTTTTGCAGCTTCCAAACTGTTTTCTTCCAATATTAACTTGCATTGAACTATGACTAGCAGCAGCTTCTTTGTTCCTTCTGATAAAAAACAACAACAACATCCTAACAATGCAGTCTGCCATGTTTCTTCACATAGCTGTGTGTTCAGAGTGATGTTTACTCTCTTGTTATTTCTCTGATGCACACAACATTTTGCACACCCAAAATGTTGTGTTTTGACAAAAAGTTTAATTAGACAAAAAGTTTAATTTTGGTTATTCATGCTAACAGATGTTTGCTATAATCAGGGTTTATTGTGACCTTGTTTTCACAGGTTTTATTCTTGCAGATTGTATATATCTCTACATGGCCTCCAGATTTAACTGCCTCAAAGCACTTCTCTGCGCTGTCAGTTTAAGCACATTACAAGAAAGATTGAACTATAGCTTTAGATATTTTTTTTCTTTAAGCTTCTCCACAACTTTATTACTGTGGATCCATGGAAGAGTAGCCACTATTAAGGCAAAGGCTAATGCGAATCTAAATAAACAAACAAACAAACTTTATCACTGATGTTTCTGGCTTTTCAATTCATCATCATGAATGAAAAAAACCATGTGCCACGACAATCTAGTCTGATGCAGCAGCGCTGTTAGTCTGGACTAATTTGTTTGAAAGATTTATCGAGGGAGATGAGAGTGAAGGGGACTGGATACTAATACAGGCCACACTTTTCAGATTGTTTTACTTGGTACATATTTAGAATCCTATTTGTGTTGTTTTATCACATCCATTTCCAATAAAACACATGAAAGTGAAGGGTTGTAATGTGGCAGAATTTGTAACAAAATAGAAAAAAATTATGATGAATAGGGGATGATTGTAACTCTTTTTACTTCCACTTATCTAACTCCTACTTTGAAAAGATGGTGATTAACACACATTTGAATAAAACAATCTGAGTTCAGTTCTCTAATTTCAGTAACTCTCATCCACACATCCCAAAATGATTAACATCAGAACGAGGAGAACATATAGACAGACTTGTGTGTGTTGTGTCTGAACTCTGAGGCATGAACTCTCCAGATATCCGACTGATGACTTTTAGAGAAACCACAGGAGGCTTGTCTTACACGACCACCGGAGAATCACAATCAGACCCAGGTCATTTCACAGCTTTAATTAACCACTGATTGCCAGCTGCTGATTTATATTTAGCACAGCCAAGCAGCACCAGGTTGCGTGTCAAATCAAAGCAGAACAATAGTTCATTTCTGCTTGTTTTCGGCGATATCTTGATATTGCAAATCCTTTGATGTGTGACTAATGGATGAATCATTCACTATATTTTGACTCTGGCAAGGAGAAAGAGAAACACAGGGCTGGATGTTCACAAAAGAGCTGGTCGGGGAAAAAAATGGCCAGATGCAGATAAGGCAGATTTCCAACAACACCTCAGTGACCTAACAGAGGATCGCCAGCTCCTGCCTCAGATAGGCATCAGATATTCATGGGCAAATGGAGCCTTAAATCTTTTAAGCTCACTTGATCTACCCAGCCGATCACACAGGCTTATTTCGCTTCTTATCCGGACAACGTACAATGCGGCCGACACTCGACGTGCATACTTATTGTTCTATAAAGCATAGATACAGTAGCTTAGGTTGCATGTACTGCTAAAGACATTAGAGTTACCTTACAGTCGTTTGAGGCCAAACAGGAATTTCCAAGATGAAGAGAAAAGACAATTATATAAAAATATTTTTTGATTCTCTGCACACCTTTTATTATATCAGGGGATAATGGCTATTTCATTGGAATGAGAAACACAGATGTCTGTTTTTGTAACAGCTCATTACAAAAAGGCCTCTTGGGCGTCTTTATGTAAAGGCTACATTTTTTGTAGGATGTTTCAGTTTTCCATATTTTGAGGAAATTCTTGGAAATATAAGATTAGCATGTGTAAAAGATGCCGTACAGGTTGGATCCTTGTGACTTCTGGAGAATTGAATTTTTCAGAGTATGAGAAACAACTAACATACCTTCACACACAAGACAGATGTTTGTGATATCTGAGTTTCTTTGAACTTAAAAGACAAGTGTCTGAGTCCAAGTTAAGCAAAGCAAAAAAAAAAAAATAAAAATCTAGAGTCATATATATGGTGTGAAAACCTGGAAAGGGGTTTGTGCCAATAAATATGTCTCATGAATAAGTCACCTTCCAGAAATCCTTCACACTTCAGCAGCTGAAATGACCTGGAATTAAAATGTGGGTGAGCCAGATGAGTTTTATTGTCACTGCTAACCGGGTCTTTCTCTTCTTTTTTGTCCCACTCCTCGTCTCTCTTTTTGTCATGCAGCCAACAGCTGCATGTTGTTTCCTATATTTCTTTTTAATCAACAATATTATTCCCATCTTCAGCCCTCTGGTGGCCTCGCCATCTGTCACTTGCGTGAGACAAGAGGAAAGCAATTATTGAATCCTGGCTTTGAGGAGTGCCTGCTTTCACAAAAGTCCCTCCGTGCTTTCCAGATTTTCCTCTGGCTCTCTGCAGCAACTATCTGAGCGGTGAAAAGTGAAAAATGACGACAAAACCAAAAATTACAGCTGGCTACCAGAAAACTCAGTCCTTGGGACTCTGTAAAAACAGTGGTTGAAGCCTTCTGTTTTCCAAAAGAAGAACTGGTGTTATACTTAAAAATTATTCTTAGATGACGTCTGCAATATTTCTCAGACATTATTGAAAATAAAAAGATTCTCCCCTGAGTAAAATTGTGTCACAATAAAGTGTAAAAACCAGGAACTCTAATGTGTTTCATATTTGAGAATAATTCAGAAGAGGAAAAAAAATAAAATGGGTTTAAATTTATGAAATGTTTAATTAAAGTTACCTGCTTTCATCATTCAGATATCTTGTAGATAAAGCAGTGTGTAACTCAATATTAGACAATAATAATAATATTGTCTTTACTAAAGAACAAAGTAAATTAAAAAACTTCTTAAGAAATTTGAAGCAGGCTCAGAATGTCAACCAGCATCCTTTAATTTCCTGAGGGAGTCTTCCCAAGGGATCAATAAAGTACAAGTCTAAGTCTAAGTCTAAACCTTTGACAATTTACTGAGCACAATCACAAAAAAAACAAAAAAAAAAACATCAACAATTCACACCGACAAACCTGCCAAGGTCATCTCATCATCTGACAGAACAAGCAAGGAAAACATTCATCAGAGTAACTCAGGAGCAAAAGTTCAGGTGAGGCAATGAACTATTAGAAGAGTTTCAAGGAAAAGGTTTTTGTTAAACGAAACGTCTCAGAAGTCCTGTTTGCAGTTGGCAACTATCATGCAGGAAACACAGTAAACACATGGAAGAAGATCCTCTGGTCAGATGAAACTAAAGTTGAATCGTTTGGACTACAATATTTAGCATCTCCAAGGAAGAAAGAATGAACAAAAGTCTTGCAGGTTTCATTTCAGAGAAAGGCTGTTCTGAAAAGTATTTTTTAAATATACATATATATTTTTTTCTTCCACTTCGCAATTAATCATTACTTTATCTTTGTCTATTGAATAAAATCCACAAACAATAGATTGAAGTTTGTGGTTGTGAAGTGACACAATCCAAAAGGTTTTGTTGGTTTGGACATGTTTTCAAGGTACTGCATGAAACTGACTCTCAGCTGAACATGTTCATTTAAAAATGTAATTTTCTTTTCTGGAGACTTGTAATGACACTGCATAAATAATTAAAATCCCACCAATAGAATTGCAAGGCATCATCAATATAAAAACAAGGAAAAGAAAATCATTTACAGAACTGGCAAATATACAGGAACAACAAATTGAAGCTGCATGAGCAGAGGTCATTATATAATAGGATTGTCAACACATTTAATACCGTTTAACCTCCAACCTTTTACCACCAATGGCTTAATCACTCACATGAAGTAATTATTAACATGCTGTGACAAGCTCAATCTCCGTCTCCTGGCTTGCCCCTCATGT